GGCCGATTTGCTTGCTTGCTTGATTGATTGTTTGATTGATTGATTGTTTTATTTTGTGTCGGTGCAGGCGACATCCCCTACTAATCAGCGGCGCCGGCAGTCCCCCACCGAATTTGCAGGATAAGGGTCCGATGGGAGTTCAACGGGTTTTCAACGACACTTCAACGCGGTTTCAACAGGAGTTCAATGGGGTTTCAACGGGAGTTGAACAGGGTTAACGGGTTTTCGCCGGGGGTGACGGGTGTTCGACGGTTGCGGGGGGTCGACGGTTGTTCGCAGGTTTGGCAGTGGGAGAAAAGAGGCGGGTGTTACAGTGTTGGGACTGGGCAGGCCGAGGATACGGGCTTCTTTGTGGCGCCGCTGACCACGAGCTGTCGGAGGGGAGGCCCTTACGACTGGACGGGCGCGGCTTTGAGGGGGGTTCACAATGCCGCGAAAACAGACGCGCGAACATGAGCCTGCGCTCGGACATGTGTAGTAGGATTATAGGCGCAAATCTGCTGTGTACCATTACATTGTTGTCGGCCAGAAGGTCGACAACAGGGGGATTAATATGCTACGGTGCACCTTCTGCAATAAGGTGTTTCAAGGAACCCAATTCTACGCAACGAAACACTTCACCTAACAAAATTATTGCAAGAGGGTGTCCGATGATGCATTGCACCAGATTGCGGGGAAATGTACACACCGCTTCGAGGCCGATCAGGTACAGAGGGTGCGGCGGTTCGCACACGAGCGTGGTCTCGATGTCCCGCGGTTGGGTGCGATGGGTGGCGAGGCGGAGCGTCCTGCACAGGGCATGGGCGAGGGAGAGGATATCGAGCGTTATGCGGAGGGAGGTGTTGCGAGATATGGGGAGGGTGCGGGTGCCGCGGAGGAGGACAAGGCAGACGTTGACCTAGAGGTTGGCGTGGCTGAGGGGGAGCGGACACCGAGGGGAGAGGGGGGCGTGCCGAAGTCCGATCCGATGGCTCATCAGAGGGCGGTGGACTAGGAGCAGAAGTGCGGGAAGAAGGTCGTCCCGCTTGAGACGACATGCACGCCGAGTTGTTCGAAGAGTGTTGTTCCTGATAGAGCAAGCACGCCGGGTTCTTCAAAGAGGAAGGAGGGGGGTGCACAGCTTTCTGGCACCAGTGCAGGGAAGAGGCTGCGGCAACAGAAAATGACGGACACGTATGGTGGCGAGTGGATTGGTGAGTGGAGGAAGGCATTCTTTCGCTGGGTGTATTCCAGCGGGATGGCCTTCAATGCCTTCCGCAACACGCCGTACCGGGACCTCCAACAGGTTGCTCTTCGGCAACCTGGTGGAGCATCTCTTCCCGTGCTTCCATCCCACAGCAAGATCGCAGACATGCGTACTGTGGAGATCCACCGTGAGCAGTTGGCGGAGGAGTTGGAGGAGGTTAGGCAGCCATTATGGGTGAGTGGCGCCACCCTCCTCTCTGACGGGAGGAAGTCAAGAGATGGGCGACCGATCGTGAACTTCCTCGCAGCTGGGTCTCGAGGGGTCGTCATGTACACGACGATCAACCGAGAGGGGGAGCCGGACGATGCGGTGCACGTCCTGCAGAGATGGGTCGCCATCTTTCATGGTTTCAGATTCGGTGGCCCACAACGGGTCAATGCTATATGCACTGACTCCGCCTCTGCATACGTGGGGGATGCGAGGGCTTTGGCCTCGCCATCTATGCCCCCTGAGCTGAGGAGGATCATTTGGCTCCCGTGTTGCGTCCATGTTTGCAACAAGTTGTTGTCAGACATTGGCATGATCTGCACCTCTTTCGTGGACACGATCATGCGTGCCCGAGTTCTAGTGGTGTTTTTCAAAACCCACTAGGCCGCTCTAAGCTTCTTTCGGAAGCGGAGCGCAGCGTTGGGCCTCGTGCTTTCATGCGAGACGCGCTTTGCAGCCAGCGGGAACGAAACTCTTCAATACAAACAATCAGTTGGTCCCGCAGCTAGCGGGAATTGTGCTCCCCAAAGAATCACGCGACTGGCGATCCTGCTGCTAGCTGGCCAATTGTCACACTTTTATTGATTTGGCAAGCATTCCCTCTGCTGGCGGGTTAATTATCCTACCTTTGCTGACTGGGCAATAGACCCTTCCCGCTGCTGGGGGGGCAGTTGTTTCACGCTAGCTGATCTGCAAATCGAGCCCTCCCGCGTCTCGTGGGGCCCAGTTATCTACTTCCGCTGATCGGGGAATCGAACATACCTCTGCTGAAGGGATAAGTTACTTTACTCTACCGGGCGCCAACGAGCCTTTCCACTGTTATTTCTACTATTGCGATCTTGATCGGACAGAAGAAGAGGTAAGGGGTAAGGACTTGGGGTTAAGCGTGGGTCAGTACCTGCATGACACTCGCTCAGTCAAAGAGAGCGGGCTGACGCGCTTGAGTGCGCCTTTTTACCTTTTTTTCACTGTTGTAATTTCTATCTCAATCAACTGTCTGTGGAGAATGGCGGGTTGAGCCTGTCCACAGCGGGGGGAAGAAACCGAGCTAACGAAGGAGGCGAGAGAGTGAACCTTGGGAAACAGAGGGAATGAGTGCAGGAGGTGTATTTCATCAGAGGGGAATAGACCAATGGTGCAGGGACAGATGGGAGAGAGAGAACAGCGACAGAGAGAGAGAGAGAATAGCGAGAGAGAGAGAACATAGAAAGAGAGAGAAAGAGAACCGGGGGGGGCACATCCAAGGTTGACGCCGGAAACTCGCTGCTGCGTCCGTAGCTGCTTTGCCAGTTGACTGTCGAAACTCACTGTTGCGTGAGCTCGCTGAACTGTTGATTAGTTGTTGAACCAATTGGCTGTTGAAACTTATGGTTGTATGAACTTGTGGTATTACCAGTTGTCCGTTGAACCCCCTTGCCGTGTGAAGTTGCTAAATTGCACAAAGAAAGAAAAAGAAAATTGGAAGCGTGACAGGGCGCCGCAAGTTTCGATTCCTGCTGGTCGCCGAGGACCTCGGAAGTGGGCGCGGCGGGTGACAGGCGCCATTGCCCTTGGCTTCGGCGAACGGTAGGCGCCCCTCCCCGGGTTTCCTCACACCGTGACTGTCAAGGTTGAAGGGGGGGTAGACAGTCAAGTAGCGGGGGTAGGCCCGCGACACTTAGAGCAGGGGGGAAACACTCGAGTAGCAGGTAGGC